ATTTTGAGCGACTCTTATTTGCACTACTACTACTACTACACTGATGGATTTTGAACGAGTCATATTTACACTACCACTCTCTAACAGATCTTTGTTTTATTTGTACTACTACTACACTTTATCAGATTTTGAACGATTATTTCATTTGCACGACAACTCTCAAATTGTGCAACATCTACTAGACCTTAACAAAATTTTAGAACGAGATATTATTTGCACTACTACTGCTGAATTTTGAAAGACTTTCTCAACTTTTTTCTATTAGTAATTTTTTGCCGGACCAAGACAGATTTTTGAACGACGTTTTACCTGCACTGCTACCTGTACATTTAAGAGACCTTCTAAAAAACGTTATATTTGCACTGCTAGTACTGGACTTCGACATATTTTGAACTACTTTCTTGTTTGCACTACTAATAATGTTACCGCTAGTCTTCGACAGTTTTTTTGACGACTACTTCTATATTTGACAGATCTTTAGAACGACATTTTAATTTTGCACTAGATTTTGAATGACTTTTTCACCGATTGTCTATTAGTACCATTACTGCTAGACTTTGATAGATTTTTGAACGACTCTTTCCTTGCACTACTTTCACAACAAGATACTTTGAAAGATTTTTCACTCACGAACAGATTCTAAAATGTTTTACTTGTACTTTTCTACTACACCTCTTTATAAAATTACTTCTCACTTGCATCACTACTACTACTACTACAAGATCTTCACAGATTTCTGAACGTCTTTTTTTCTCGCACTACTACTGCTATACTTTGACAGGTTTTAAAACGACTCTTGACTTGCACCACTAACCCCACAGAGACTTTCAGAGGTTTCTTCCTTCAGTAATAAAATTCAAGCAAGCTGCAAAAAAGAACGCAAGAATGTAATGTAAACACAATAGAATTACAAGTCTCAGGAGCATGATAGCACTTAGAATCAAATACTATTCACAAGCTATTCTTTCTGTTAACAATGGGAGCAAACCTACTTCTAGTGTAATTTTGCCATGTCTTCTTACCAAAAGCCTCTGTGGTCTAGCGGTAGTGCACATTTAACAACTCATATTAGGCGACGGCCGTATCCCGGCCGTCGTTTAATTTAAGTTGTTAAAGCACCTCCAACGGGCCTAAGGCCCCGTTGGTCAGTTTTCTTTTTCCTTTTAATCTTTTAAGAAGCAGAAATTAATTTAATTTCAAGAGCTCCGAGAACTTTCTTCTGATTTCTTTTTTTTATTTTTTCAGAAAAAAATTCTCGCAGCTGTTAAAATTAAGCAAATTTCTGTTCCTTTTAAGATTAAAGCTCCTCAGAATTGCAAAGCTACAGCTTAAATTTAAACTACGATGGAAGGATATGGTCGTCGAACGAGCCAAGCAATTTGCATTACCAGAAGGAGCAAGAGAAAACGTGATAAAAGAAGAATATCTTTGGGAAAAAAACTTTGAAATGTAAAAATGATTATCATTTAACATTCGACATGCAGAGCATTTCCTCTTTCAAAGGCATACATTACTTTTTCTAGGAGACATTTTGCTTGTTTCCAGTTTGTCTGATGAACACTATTTTTTCAACTTTGTTTGCTGTTAGATTTAAATTTTAGTGATATTGGCGATAAGGTAATTTCAAAAGTTATTTGTTTGGATTCAAATAGTTCTAATAACTTCTAGATATTGTTTTACAAATGTTAAGAAATATTTGTATCTTTATTTCAGTTTTACATTTTTTACTAACAAAACTTTTGCCTCTGCTCAGTTGTTTTTTGTTATTTTTTAGTGAAATATTACCGTCCTTTTAAGTAAAGAAGGGTCAATATTTTCAATCTTTATATTTGAAACAAAAATATCTTCTCTATTTGATAGACAGATAGGCTGATAGGCATGTCAGACAACTCGCCCCATGGACAATTAGCCCCAGACAATTAGCCCCCAGTCTCTGGACGATTAGCCCCCAGTCTTTGGACGATTAGCCCCCAGTCCCTGGACGATTAGCCCCCAGTCTTAGTTTATGTAAAGGAGAAGTTACGTTCATCTGTTGGTCATTGACTTTTATGAGTTTGTGGCTCCTAAAGGAGCCGTTTTTTTGTGAATATCTATCTTTATTAACATTTACTCAGTTTAAATTACATGGGTTGTACGAGGTGAGCGCATGCCTCCAGAAGCTCCTTTGAATTCCTATTGCCATTTTCGAATTCACTCCAGAGGTCAAAGAGTCTTCTCTGTAAGGTCCTGTAGGTCGAGCGCTGATGCCTCTTCAGCTTTTTGTCTGAAACCAGACGGATTTGCATGCTGACCAGTGCAGCTTCCCGGTGAAGCACCTGGATTAGGATATACAACGGAAGCTGAGATCGTCCTTTGGCGCGCGGGTTCAAGCCATTGTGCCAACCCTCTAAGTCGTTATTGGTCCTGACCGCTTCCAGGAATACGCTCCAGGTCTGTGGCGGGAAGGCCTGACTGGTTATCCAGTTCTCTTCGATGTAGCTACAGAAATCCTGCAAGTGTCTGACAGTTGCTTGCTGCTGGAGTCGACGGAATCTGCGTTCGATCTTGTCAGAAGGGAGGTACGATAAAGCCATCAGTTGCTTTATTAGCTGGTGGGTGCCGCGGTC